GGCGGCGCTGGGGAGGGGGCGGGCGGGGGTGCGGCCAGAGGGCGTGGAGGCCGAGGGGCGGCGAAACAGCCGCTGGAGGTCCGCCTCTTTCATTGATGAAATTTAAGTTCGCGTGGTTTTACCTTTTCGGGAGTCTGCAGCTGCCCCTCAGCCGTGTCAGGAGCGCAGTGTAGCCAGGAGTTCCCAAGCAGAGTCGGTCGCTCCAAGTTTCTGTCCTTTGGAATTGGGGGAGGTTTTCCTAGGTGCTTCTTTTTTGTTGTTTTAAAGCCAGTTTTAAACGCTTTGAATGAATACTCCCTTAAGTAGCTAAACAGAGGAAGAGAAAGAACACTTCGCGCGTTTAAAAGCAAGAAAGATCAGCCCTATAGCGTGACTCCTTTAGAAATTAAAAAGAAAAAAAAAAAGCCAGAGTATTTTAGCAAAACTCTTAAGATGTCGAGATTTGTACAAGGTAAGATATATTTCTTCTTATCTCCCGGGTTTCTTAAGCCGAACGTGGGTACTAGCAGTCGAGAGGTTGGCGGGTGGTTTGGACGTGGAGTTGTTCATTTGAGATACCATTTGCGAAACCCTTTTCCTTAAATTGACATCTGAGCTGCCTTGAACTGCTTGCTGGGTTGGCGTTTCCGATAAGTATAATATAGGCCCCTGTACCCTGCTGGGTTTACTTCTGCCTCCCTAAAATCAGGTTAGTAGTACTCCGACTCCCCGGATAGTGGGTGTTAATGATTAAAACGGGATTTTGGCTGCTGATTAATCCTTGTTCTCTGTTCGCGTTCGGTGTCAAGGTGCTTGTGAGTGGCGCGTGGACGGGAAAGGGAATCGGGAGGGCTGCGGGGGGCAGGTGGGTTTGCCAGGACTGTTGAGGAAGCTTTAGGGTTCGTTTCAGTTTAGTGTGTACGTGTGTTTTGAGCCTGAGATTCATGTATTGCGAAACGGGGAGTAGTCCGTTGAAGTTGGAGGTCATTTCATCTGGAGAAATGACTTTGCTGCATTGCTGTTTATTTTTTCCTTTGAAATATGAAAATTATTAAGATTTCAAATTTGAAAATTGTCCTTTTAATTCCACATAGGTATTAAAAAAGGGTTAGAGAATGCCCATCACCTGAGCTAACTAGTAACATTGCTTTTGTGTATGGGAATGTGTGTGGGTGGGTATACTGATTGAAACTGGTGTTGCCCTAAACCTCTGTACCAGTTTGTAGCATAGGATTTGCCTTCTGATGTGCAAATATACTCTTTGCTTGCAGACCCGAGCTTGTGAAAGCTTCAGCCATTTTGCTGAACACACAGCTAGTAAAGTTCACAGCCACTGAATGTGATTTTCAAGAAATGTAGAGGTACTTTATTAAAAAAAAGTCGTGTTAGTAATGGATAAAACTGCCCTAGGGAGTTCTGCATCACTTTATTAACTCTTCTTTAACTTTTGGATAATAGATTAAGAGAATCTGACTACCTGCATTATTAAAGAAACAAATGGGACCTTTATGCCTGCCATTAGCATTAAGCTCAGAAATGTCACTTTCAAATTCATGTTACACTTTATATATACTAAAAGATACTTGCTTAAGTTCTGATTAAATAAATGTCTTATTAAAGATTAGAAAGACAGAGGTAACTTAGAAACTTGTTTTGTAATCACAACTATGTTCAGTGCTCTAAAGCCTGAATGTGCTTGCAATAATGTGGTAGGGAAAAATAGACAGGTCACTTCTCTTTCAAAGTTAGGATTATTAAACTCAACGTATGCCATGTAGTTATGTTTTAAAGTGGCTTGGAGAGTTGGTTCACTTTAACAAGTTTTGCTCTTAAGGTTGTCCTCACGACAACCACTAAAATGGTTCTAAATGAAGTGGCAGTCCCTCAGAGTGGCTGTGTATATTTGTCATTACTTTACCATACACTTTTTTTTTTAAACTAAGTTTTGGAATACTGCACTTACAGAAAAGTTGCACATTTGTCAAAACTAAGAAATTAACATAGGTGCATTTCTAATAACTATAAACTTCAGATTACTGTTCCCATGGTGCAGCCCAAGATACCACATTACTTTTAGTAGCCATCCACCTTGACTTTATTTATTTATTTACTTATTTTGTTTTTTTTTCCGGTACGAGGAATCAAACTCACGACCTTGCGCTTGCCAGGCAGGCGCTGTGCCGCTGAGCTAAATCCCCAGCCCCTGCCTTGACTTTAAATTGTAGTTTTCCTTTTAAATTGGGTGTCTTGAACAAAATGGTGAAACGTTCCCCAAAATATTATTGGATGTGGTTGTGTGCCTTTTTATCATTGTTTTAAGTTTTGTACTTCAAGTATTAGCTCTCTATATGTAACTCTGCTGGTGTTATAAATTACAAACCTCATTGGCTAATGATGCAGTTGTCTGCACATATCAGTTTTGAAGTGTAATGATTGTAATTTTGTTTTTTAATTTTTTTTAAACAAATCAAATTCTTTGATTTTCTTTTTCCTTGCAGAATTTAGTGATGTTTCTACTCATCAGTACTTAATTCATGCTACTTCATAGAGGAAAGGGTAAACAAATGTTAGGCTCCTATTTTTATACATTGTCTCATGTAAGCTTCTTAAGAATCCTAGAAGTAAATTTTTATCATGACTGCATAAAAAGAAGTTAAAACTGAATATGGTGGCACACTCCAGTAATCCCAGCCTTCTGAGTTGCTGAGGAAGGAGGATCACAAGTTTGAGCTCAGCCTTGGGAATTTAGAGAGACCCTGTCTCAAAAAAAAAAGTTAAGTGTCTTGTCCAAAGTTCACAGCTGGTAAGAAGCCCTGATATTCACGTACCTCTCAAACCCAGGTCCTTTACAACACCTTTTTTTGCTTTATGCATTAGAAACAATAGGCAAGGCTTGTTTTTACAACTAGGCTGTCATTCTCTGTGGGCAAAGATAATATATCCTTGAGGAAAATACATTGTAAATATTGAGTGTTTTGAAACTGTAGGTTAGCTTACATTTTTATTGTGGGCTTTTTGTTTTTTGGTATCGGGAGTTGAACTCAGGACCTTGCACTGCCAGTCAGGCGCTTGTGCCTCTGAGCTATATCCCGGGTCCATCCTACATTTTTAGTTGTAGTTTCATAACTCCTCTTAGATTACATAAATGTTGAGAAAGATGGAGGACCTCGTATGGACTTAGGTTTGAGTCTTGTTACTAATAGGTGATGTACAGCTTTTCTGAATATATTTGTACCTATATAAAAATTAGGTGTTAGGGAATAGTAGAGCATATGCTTAGCAAGCTCAAGGGACTGCGTTTAATCCCCAGCAGTAGAGAAAAAAATAGGTATTGATATTTGTGCCTAAGGTTAATTAAGAAGCTGAAATGAGACTAATTATGTTAGTATGCTAGACACATATTAGGTGGCCAGTAATTTTTTTTTTCTAAACAATCATGATAACCTTTTGGATAGTATTGCTAACCAGAAATATAACCATATATCATCAACAAAAATAAACATTAAGGTAGTTCATTACACTTGATCTTAGCCAAAAGACCGAGAAGTGATGAAGGTAGTTCATTATTTTCCTATTCCAGGTTTGCTGTTCTGGCCTGGGCACTTGGGAGTTGTTTTTTTTTTTAAGTGCAGAGCAAGAAGGTAGAATAAGGAAGGGTAGAGTTTGGACAGTATGAGGAATGAATGCAAGTGGTGGCAGTTATTGTTTCAGCCCAGTCAACAGAAACTTTAAGCACTAAGTGCAATGCATATTAGAATTCATATTAGAATTCTAGTGCAATTCATATTAGAATTTATCATGTGTGTCTTCTGCTGGGCACTTGAAGTTCAGCACATCAAGTATCATCTATGTGTTGTGTGTGGGTACTGTATTTTTGAATGTCATAGAAAATGGGGTTGCTACTCTTAGCTTGAATCTCTTTCCCCAAAATAGTCCATATATTTTATGGGAAAGCTGGGCATCTCCATCCTCAAGCACTTGGACTATAAATTGAATTGGAGATATTCACGTAATAAAAATACTTAATTTTGATACACAGGAGAGTTCTCATTGTATATTCTTTGGCCGAAAGAAGTTTCAGGTTTCTTTGGCCATCTCTACAAATCTGTGTTCTGAGGGTGTTTAATGTTCTTTCTCTTAGGAAGACCCTTCTTTACTGGATCTACAACATAATTCTTAGTTGGTTTTGGGTTTGTTTGTTTTTTTCCCCCCTCAGATCACCTCTGCCTGCCCGTAAAATTTCTGCTTCAGCTCTAGTTTTCTATGCCCTAGGGATTGTTACAGGGCCTACAATTACTCTGTATAAATGTGAGCACTATCTCTTTCCTAGCTTGTCACATTTGGAGGTGCTGGAGGTCATCAGTTGTGTTTGTTTTTTTTTTGTCAGGTTTGTCAGTGGGTGCCATTTAGAATTTTGCTTTTAAAAAGTCCTGAGTTAGCTCCCTAAATTTTTTTTTACTTACAAGTGGCAAAGAGACTTATGTTGTCTAGCCAGCTAAAGCCATATTATATGCTTATACTGTAATGTTAGAAGCATTAAATTTTTTAAAATGGTATTATGTAAGTTATATAAAAATGTCCCTGATTTTTAAATTGAGGCACTTTGTTATATTTCAGGGAAAGCTATTTAAGTACCTCTGTGTCACTTTAAAAGTATTTGAGACCTGTCAACTTACCCATTTGTTAGAATTCTTTCTGTGACTCTTTTGGCGACTCCTTTTTGGTAGGTGGCAGCTAGCCAGGGAAGATTACTGAGCTAATTATAACTAGAAGGGTCTCAGATGAATACAGGGATGAGAAGCATTCTGGAGCCTGGTTGTTGAGGTCATGCCTTGGCCTGATTCTTCTCAAATTCTAAAACCAACTTTAGCCTGTTGCTGATCACTTAAGTGACTGGGATACTTTTAAAAACTGAGGTATATTGTGACATGGATTTGAGTGAGGCCTAGCACCAGCTTAGTACCAACTGAAGCATACCCCTCATTTTTTAAAAGTGTAGTTCAGTATTTTATTGTGTTGCTAGAGAGAGAGAGAAAGAAAGAAAGAGGGAGTTCAGTTTAGTAATAGTTATAAATGTAAAATTTAAAGGAATTCAAAATGAAGAGTTGAGCTACTGAAAATTTTATGGACTCTTTTCTAATATGGATCTTGTAATCTCTATGGTTAAATTTCCCTTGTTCTTACTAACTCAGCCTTCTAGTAAGATGGATGATTTTCATTTGTGAAAACTTACTGAGGAAAAAAATTGACAGAGAACATTAGAGAAATGAATATTAGCTGGTACACTTCTTGAAAGTTCCATTTTGATATTCTCAAGATACATTGAAATATTTGAACGGTAGGTATATTTTTACAATATCACTTCACAGAGACCATTCTATCCCTTTTGTGTGTGTGTGTGTTTTCTTCAGAGATGAGTTTTAGCAAAATTAATTAAAATAATGGGACACTTTGAGGAATATTAGTTGGCCT